GAGTCAATTGGGGGGAAGGGGAGAAAAAAAGGGAAACAAATATTTAAGATCGAAATCATAACTATTATATTTTCCAACAACAATGGCAAAAAATAGTAATACATATATTCCCACTACCAGAATAAGGTGCAGAATTAACAAGAGTCCCTATAGTATGGGGGTATGTGTAGTATGGAGTGAAGGAGGGAAAGAGAGGGGGTGGGGGAGGGAAAGGGGAAGAGGAAGGTAGAGTTAACCGTAGGAGGTAGAGGTAGAGGTAGAGGTAGAGGTAGAGGTAGAGGTAGAGGTAGGGGTAGAAAGAGAGAGAGAGAGAGAGAGAGAGAGAGAGAGAGAGAGAGTGTGTGTGTGTGTGTGTGTGTAGTGAGTATGCTCAGGAAGTTCAGGTGTTCTTGACCTGACATAATAAGTTGCAATGCATTTTCTCATAGAAACCAAACTGTAAATGGTGATTAAGTAGTTATGAAAAAACAGATTCTTTAGGGTTGGCCTAAAAATGTTTTCCAATAGGAAAAACAAATTCCAAATACTAGTTAGTTGACCTGAATATGGACTTCGAGAATAAAATCTGTTTATAAATTGGGGAATATCTATTGTTTTTATTCTTATCACAAACACAGGAAAAAAAAACTCTACAAAACAAGCAATGGGAGACAACATATAAAAGGAAAAAGGAGACCAAAGTAACAACCACTACAGAGTCTTCAGTCTAAAACTGATAGCTGCCAGGATAGGAGTGCACTGATATAATGGCTCGTGGGGAGATAGGGACTGCAGGTGCAACAAAAGCTATGGATTTATACTTAAACATAGTCCCAGAGCGGTACTGGTGGCTGTCAGCCTTTAGCCGGTGTGGCTCAGTTGTGTGGAACGTCATCCTGTGTACTGAAAGGTTGCAGGTTCAATCCCTGGTCAGGGCACATATGAAATCTATGTTCTCTTTCCACATTAATGTTTCTCTCTTTCTCTCACCCTTTCTCTAAAATCAATAAGGATAAAAATGAATAAATAAATAAATAAATAAAATCAATAAGCATATCTTCTGGTGAGGATTTAAAAACATAAAACAAAATCAATAAAAACATATCCTCAAGTGAGAATAAACAAAGTTTGATCTAGCATAGCCAGAAATACATTATACAATATGAAGTCAATAAACATGATGGTAATAAATATAGATTTATATAAACATTATCAAGATTTCCCAATTTGAATTTTTCTCAAAACAGACATATAAAGGATATAGATAATATAAAGGAAAAAAATGGTCTGAGATAATAAACTAGGTAAATTTGATCAGAGAGCTATAACTGCCCCCTAGTGACAGAATATTATAATACACTTTGAAAACAGCTCATAAAGTTGGAAATAAGAATGCTTATAAATTTGTTGCTTCCAAAATTTCTAACTGTTCCTTTTTACTCACTTATCCATTCGTTATTTCACTTCATATCCAATAAGGGATAAAACAGGAATTATTTATCCTTCATTGCAGTCCCTTGGGAGAAAGATGCACACATAAAGAAATATATAACCAATAGATTGTGATAAATGCTATGTAAGAAATGAACAGGATGCTGTAATGAAGAAAAATGGGTTCAGGCTAAGAAGAAAAACCCTACTTAGAATCGGGCAGCGGGACAAAGCCTCACTATGAAAGAGACATAAAGTGAGACTAGCCCTAGTCAGTTTTCTCGGTGGTTATAGAGCATTGGCCTGCGGATAAAGGTTCTGGGTTCGATTCTCTCAAGACCATGTATCTTGGTTGCAAGCTCCATCCCCAGCCCCAGTAGGGGTGTGTGTGGGAGGCAACCTCTCCCTTCCTCTCTGAAATCAATAAAAATATATTTTTAAAGAAGTCTCCTGTTTCTAAATAAGTAAATAGGAAACATGCTTTGTAGGCACAACTGACAGGAGCTCCAGTGGGACTGGAGGTAGGTGATGGGGCAGAAAGAAGAATAAAAGATGCTGTTTTCAGGTTTCAGCAGCTGAGAGATGCTCATTACTCACTGCGGAAGGGCAGGTTTCAGTTGGGGGTAATCAAAACCTGTTTAAATATTGACTTTAAAATATCTGTGCAACTTTCAAGAAGAGATGTAAAAGAGGAAGTTGGATCTGTAGCCCAAGACTCAGAGCCGATGTCTGAGCCAACAAGGTAAACTTAAGCTTATGGGCATCTATATGGGATTTCAGGTCACAGAAGGAAGAGATCACTCAGGGAGAAACCATGGAGACTTTGTAACTGGTCAGCCTCCTTTGGTATGGTGTTCATCTGTGATATGACTTTGACAGGGCAATATTTAAAGGGTCTCCTGTATTTGCCTTGAGGAATTAATGAAATAGCTGCCCCTATGTGGTTACAATAACCTCTTCTTTGTAAGAATAGCATTTCAGACTTCTTGATCTCTTCTTTTCATCTTTATTCAAGAAAATGATTTAGGCTTAAATCTTATCTTTTGTGAGCCTAGATTAGTTTGTCTCAAGTTTATAGTTACATGAAAAATTCTGGACTTGTTAGGACCCTTGATCTTTAAAGTTTCTCTGCTAAGTCGGCATAAGGGAATGCATGGAAATCCTCATCAAACTACTAACGACTGTACAGGCCAAGTTAAAACGCCACAAATCCTACCATTCTTACTCAGTAAGCACTGTGCTAAGGACTCTACTTCCAATATCCCATGAAGTTAGAACTATTAGAATCTTATTTTACAGAAGAGGAAACTGAGACATAAAGATATTAAGATGGCTTGCTCCAGGTCTCATAGCTTGTAAAGGAAAACGTTTATGAACCATAATCTAACCATAATCTAATGAAAAGTGAACCTGTGTTATTAATAATAGCTATGTAATAAATAATAGCTAGGTTTTATTTTAAGCATTTGCTTTTTTACAGCTACTATAGCCTTAAGGATTATGAACCATAATCTACCTAATTCCAGTCTATTCTCCATTGCCATGCTGTGTACTACTTTTCATTTGTGAAAAAACAATTCAGAGAAACTAAGTTTAGTTAAAAGTGTAGCTAAATATGAACTCATACAATGGAAATCAAATATAAATAAATTTTATAGAACTCGTACTATACATAAATTATCACTGAGGTCTTTATCTACATAAGTCATTGGTACCCATGCTTTGTATCTGAATCATGTAGAGCAGTGGTCGGCAAACTCATTAGTCAACAGAGCCAAATATCAACAGTACAATGATTGAAATTTGAGAGCCAAATTTTTTAACTTAAACTATATAGGTAGGTACATTGTTATTAACTTAAGTACGGTACTTCTAAACTGGCCTTTGCTAAAAATTCAAGGGGCCAAAGGGCCACAGGTTGCCAACCACTGATGTAGAGCATTTTAGAAAAGTATCTGCAAGGCCCAGCCGGTGTTGCTCAGTGATTAAGCATTGAACTATGAACCAGGAGGTCACGGTTTGATTCCTAGTCAGGGCACATGCCTGGGTTGTGGGCTCAATTCCCACTAGGGAGCATAAAAGAGGCAGTTGATCAATGATTCTCTCTGATCACTGATGTTTCTATCTCCCTCTTCCTCTCCCTTCCTCTCTGAAATCAATAAATATATATATATATTTTTTAATACATACCTGCAAAACTCTTCTCTACCTGTACTATCCAGGGTGGGACACAAATGATGTCTGCACTTTTAAAAGTTGTGTAGATTCTAACTCCATCCCAGACAAGAACCACTTCATTAGACTAAAAGCTCCTTAAAAGTGGTACTATATTAACTATCTCATCATCTAATTTCTAAAACAGTTCATACAGAAAGGACGGTTCTTAGAGGAAAAAGGCATAAAGAATTAGAGACTTTGGCTTGAATCTTAGCCCTCTCACTTGTATGACCCAGGGAATGTTAATTTCTCTGAACCTTAGTTTCTTCATCTATAAAGTGAAAGTTTTTATTTTAATCTACCTCTTAAGAGTTGTTACAATCATAAATAGCATGTGCTGGAACGTGGTATGTGCTCAACTGGTAGTTGTTCTAATTAATCCTGGAACTGACTACACAAATATCTGATTTAAAAATGCAGCATAAACACTCCATGCACCTCTGGACAAAGCACACTCTGTGCAGTCACCTGAGTGAGGACAGTCTCCCAAGAGCTCACAGTCCAATAGGGAAGGGGCATTCTCTCTAAAGAGGAAGCTGTGATGACCCTTCACAGGGAGGTGGGTTTCACAGAAGAGAAATAACTCTGATGTACAAATGGTTCTCAGAAGTGCCATGTGAACTGTGCCCTGACTGAAGCATAGTCAGATGTGCTCGATGGACCTTATTTCAGGCCAATGGTTCACAAACTTTAACACCCATCAAAGTGACATGGAGGGCTTGGTAAAGCACAGAGGGCCCTACCCCAGACTTTCTGACTCAGAAGATCCAGAGTGGGGCCTGAGAATCTGCAGTTCCCAAATGACCTGATGCTGATAATCAAGAGAACCCTCTTCCAGAACCATCACTAGAGTGCTTGAGCAGAACTGACAAGTGCTAATAGCTTTCCCTGGCAGCATCTGGGGCGTGACTCATGTGAGTGCTTAAGGACTATGGTCAGAAATCTAGACTCTAGAAATGAAAACATTCTCCATAAAAACCATTTCTCCCCTGATAAGAGGTAGATAAATCACCCTTCCTGGGTAAGCTAACACTCCAGAGTAAGTTAAAACTAATTACCTCTTGTAATATGACATTTATTATCTCTAACCAGTTACTTTTCAACTCCACTAGCTATTTCCTGGATTTGAATTAACACAGGTAAACAATAAGGTAATGAGGTGACAGACATTGAGGTACAAAGCTAATCAAATGTACAAAGAATAGAAATACAGTGTTTATTCTTATTCTTTCAAAGTGAGAATATAACCACTAATACATCCTGAATTTTAATATTTTACTCCATATGGTATAGGTTAAAATTTTTCAAAAGAACAGTGTTGAAATCTATTCAATAATTTCACTTATAAATTTTGAGGACTCTTCCATACTCACCAAAACCATCAATATCTAGATTATTTTCAATCACAACATCTAGCAGAGAGTCACCGATTTTTCCTTTGGTTGTTAATATTTCACCGTCACGGTTTAAAAAGTGGACTGTTATTTTATCTTCTGAGCTGGAAAAGGAAGCAGTCCTTTATTAATTATTTTCAAAAAATACTTTAAAATAACTGTTTTAAGAATTGGTAAGGTCAAATTTAAAAAAAAACTTGTAAGGTCAAAAGAAATAGTGGTGTGTGTGTGTGTGTGTGTGTGTGTGTGTGTGTGTGTACGCACATGCAAGCAAATGTGCTTTTACAGTATTTTATTTTCTTTCCAAAGTTCATTTGGGAAGAAAATGCCATAAATACCAAAAAGGCATGTCTATCTGCCCACCTACTAGGAGAGCTCTACTGCCTGAAAGGAAATGAAAACTAGGCCATGTACTCCCCTATGCATTGTGTCTCCCGAGTGGTCATGGTCATGGGTCACTGTCATGTGAAAACATTTAGCAATCATCATCATGGAAGTCTATTTTGCTCTCACACAGCTCTCTCTGAAAAACAGTCTCCATGAATGTGCCCCTAAAGACTAGACCACGGCTGTGGTGAGCTCTGGAAAAGCAGAGCACCCTGCCATCAATAGGCAGTTATGCATGTTTCTGGCAGGTACTGCGCTGAAAGGCAGCAGTCTGATAGTTTTCTGAGTATTTGAACATCTTACTTTGGTCTACATTGTGTGCTCAAAAATCAAAGGGACTAGAAAATATATGTATGTTTGTTTGTCTGTTTGAATCTGTGGGAAGATAAATATACCCCTTTATGTTCTTTATTATAGATTAGTGGCCAAGTGCACGAAATTCGTGCAGGGATGGGGGGGGGGGTGGGATCCCTCAGCCCAGCCTGCACCCTCTCCAATCTGGGACCCCTCAGGGATTTCTGACTGCCCCATGGGATCAGGCCTAAACTGGCAGTCAGACATCCCTCCCACATCAGGGACCTCTGGCTCCAAACCGCTCACCTGCCTACCTGCTTGATCACCGCTAACCATTCTGCCTCCAAATCCCCAACTAAACCCTCCCCCACCGGCCTTCTCACCCCCAACTATACTCCCTTGCCGGCCTGATCACCCCAATTGCCTCCCCCGTCCCCAATGGCCTGCTCACCCCCAACTGCCCCTCCTGCTGGCCTGATCATCCCTAACCACCTCTGTCTCAGCCCTACCACCATGGCTTTGTCTGGAAGGACATCCAGAAAGTCTCACGGTCTAATTAGCATATTACCCTTTTATTAGTATAGATATTATCTATCAACCAGACTTAAATTTCTTTCCCTTCTCACAGATGTCAAAACAAAATTTGGGAAAAGAAATTATATAAGTAACTAGATCCTTATTCTCCACCATTGGTCATTATAATTTTTACCTCACAATTGAAAAGATGTACTCCAGCCTAAAATAATTAGTTGCAATTTTCACTACAGCCAGAAGATGGTAATAATCCATATCAAAGAAAACTTTAATACAAGTAAAACTTGGAAATAAATAATTCCAGAGTTATAAACATCTTCCAATTTATCAAATCCTCACAAATGAGGCAACTGAAGTCCCTATCAGATAATGGCCTCCCTAATATGCCAACACTGAAAAAAGAGAATTCCCTTAATTAAAAATTATATATAAAATACTAGAGGCCGTGCACCAGTGAGGTCCCTTGGCCTCTCGCAATCCAGAATCCCTCACAGGATGTCGGAGAGCCAGTTTCAGCTCAATCCCTGAAAGCCAGGCCAAAGGACCCCACCAGTGCAGGAATCCATGCACTGTGCCCTTAGTATGCATATAAAATCTTTGGTTTATCTCTTCCCCACTTCCCTCTGAGATTAATCAGCCTGTTCCATGTCTGTGGTTTCCACTCTATGTTAAGTGTCCTCCCCCTGATGGTCAGTATGTGTCTTAGCTACCTGCCAGTCAGCTGGTTGCTTAGGCTTTGAGATAGATAGATAGATGATAGATAGATAGATAGATAGATAGATAGATAGATAGATAGACAGACAGACAGACAGACAGACTGACTAGAGGACTAGTGCACAAAAATTCGTGCACTGGAGGGGGCGTCCCTCAGCCTGGCCTCCCCCCTCTCAGTGTAGGAGCCCTCAGGGGATGTCCTACTGATGGCTTAGGCACACTCCCCATGGAGAGGGGCCTAAGCTGAAGTCTGGCCTCCCTTTGTGGGAGGCGACCGGGCTGATAAGGGGAAGGCGCTGTGCCCTATCACTCTGCTGCTGCTGCCACTGCCAGCTGCCAGGGCTCATGGCTGCCTGAGCTCCAGGCCTCACAGCCACTGTGGCTTTGTCCGGATGGATGTCTGGAAGACTTCTGCCCTAATTAGCACATTACCCTTTTAGATATGTGAAAGTCCCTCAAAAGTGCTTGAGTACTCCAACTATTTTTTTCATAGAAAAAAAAAATGCTTTAAAAATAAATATTCTGAATATTATTCTTGATTTTCCAAGTACAGTGAGAGAATGAAGATACTCTGGAGGCAGGGAAACCACTTTGTAAATTATTAAAAGACCACAAACTAAGCAAGGACATAGAAGACATTGTCTTAGATATTCAGGAGGTAGAATTAAAAGGTTCTGGTAGCAGCAATATAAGATGGACTGAGAGAGGAAAGAAAGAACGTTGAAGTTTCCTCGGGCAATTAGGGGGTACAGTTTAAAGTAGGGTTAACAGATGAGAGATGGAGCTTTGGGGAAGATAGAAATGAGTTTGAGTTTAGATCTGTTTAATTTAATAATAGAAAAAAATGGATGAGAATGTCCAGAAGCCAGATGGATCTGAGCCCAGCAGCACAGTCTAGAGATCCGACATCCACAGATGTCTCGTAAAAGTACAACAGAGAGAATTCCATCATATGTACTTACTACCGCAGGCCGAAGGTTGTAGGGCTGCTATTCTTCTAGAGCTAAGTTACAGCAAAGGAATTTGAACTCTTTTACATCAGACTCCTCTATAAAAATGGGTTAATAATGTACGCAAAATACATAACACAGAGTAGAGCTCAACAAACACGGATTAGTAACTTTTAAAGTCTCAGTCCTTTTGTTGCTAAGAAGCCTGAAATGCTGCTATGTATGTGTATCTTCACACAAAAACTGCAAAGTAAGAGTGTTAATAGGTTTACCAAAGGAGAGGAGAGGGAGTAGAAAAGTAATTTTACAGTTGAAAAGTATGGCATGTAAGAATCAGACGTAGATTCCAGCCCTGGTTCTGACATATACTAAATGACCATAGGAAGCCACAGTGACTTCCCCAAGCTGCTGAGAGAATAAAGGAGAGAAAGTTTATGGAAACTCTTTCCTTAAAGCACTACGTTATATCCAAGTAACTCTAACCATTCACTATTAATAATTGGTGTTGGTGGGTTTTGTGGATTTCTCCCTCAATTCACTGAACTAGCAAGAAGCTTTTAGCTCTTTCCAAAAAGGAAGATTTCATACACTGGGAAATAATTATGATCTTCCCAAATTTTCTTTCATCAATTAATCAGCCAACACCACACACACACACAAAAAAAAAAAACTATGTTCTTCACTTGGTACCCTTTACTCGCTGCCATTTATTCTCCTCAACTGGACAGTTGGCAGGGGAGGTACGCTGCTGACGCCCACTCCTTCACCACACTGAGTAGCCTGGGACCGTTGGTCCAAGAAAAGGGGCACCCATCTCGGGCTCCCTACTTCCTTAGCCACCTTAACTCTTCCAAATGACCCCATGGGCTAAAGAATTACCAACTACTATGGTGCTCAAAAAAACAGAAACTATATGAATTTTAGTCCTAGCTCTGCCAGCAGCTTGCTATGGAGTTTTTCTTTTCATTTATCTACCTCCCAAAATTTTCTTAAGAGTCAAGTGAAATCATATATGGAAAGCTCTTTGCAAATTAAGTCACTACAAAATATAAAGTACTGTGTCAGGATATTTTGGAGTTAAAGGAGTTTTTCAACTCTCAATTATTAATAGCTTATCTAAGTGTTCAACTTCCAAGTCAGAAGAACAACTTCTAGACTGTTCTGTCCAGTTGGCCTTCGTGTGATCTACACCTGTGATGTTCTATTCAGCAGCTACTAGCCACTGGGGACTTAAAAAGTCCACTGGGCCGAAAATGGTTTGGCTCAGCAGTAGAGCGTCGGTCTGCGGACTGAAAGGTCCCAGGTTCGATTCCAGTCAGGGGCATGTACGTTGGTTGCGGGCATATCCCCAGTAAGGGGTGTGCAAGAGGCAACTGGTCGATGATTCTCTCTCATCGACGTTTCTAGCTCTCTCTCTCTCTCTCTCCCTTCCTCTCTGTAAAAAATCAATGAAATATATATATATATTTTTTTTTTAAATAAATAAAAATAAATAAAAAGTCCACTGAGACCATGGCAGGCGTGGCTCAGTTGGTTGGGCGTCATCCCATGCACCAAAAGGGGATGTTCCATACCCAGTCAAGGCACATTAAATGGTTTCAGGCTCCATCCCCAGTAGGGGGCATGCAGGAGGCAGCCCTTTGATGTCTCTCCCTCTCCTTTCCTCTCTCTCTAAAATCAATTTTTAAAAGAAAAACATTTTTTTAAAGTTCAACTGAGAAACTGATTCTTTAATTTTATTTAAGTTTATTTTAAACAGCCACAGGTGGCCGAAACCTGTTTGGCTCAGTGGATAGAGAGTTGGCCTGCTGACTGAAAGGTCCCAGGTTGATTCTGGTCAAGGGCATGTACCTTGGTTGTGGGCACATCCCCAGTAGGGGCTGTGCAAGAGGCAGCTGATCAATGTTTCTCTCTCATCAATGTTTCTCACTCTCTGTCCCTCTCTCTTCCTCTCTATAAAAAATCAATAAAATATATTTTTTTAAAATAAACAAACAACCACATGTGGTTAGTGGTGATCAACTCTCAAGTAACATTAGCTGTAGCTCCAAAGTCTGTGATAGGAAGCACAAGGCCACAAGGCCTCAATAGAAAAGCAGGTCTCTGAGGGAACAGACTAAATGTGTGTCCCTTTAAGACAACTTTATAATACCCAAATCCAAACATTAAGGTCGGAGGAGATAATTCCTATTTACAAAGGCATTTATGTTCCTTTAAATACTAATTACACAACTATGTTCAAGAAAGCATCCATTGTAGAAAACAAGGCATCTGCTTGGAGGGAGGTCAAAAGCAGGGAAGAGCAGGGGAAATAGAGGCAAATGAATCCTGCTCGCCTTCTCTCTTATTCTCCTCACAGTTAATGAAACAAATTTCTTGAGCACCATCTATGGAGTAAGATTAAGGAGAAAAGGTGAGTAAGTCCTACACCCTATTCTCAGGTACCTCATCAGGAAGACAAAAGGCAGAATACAAACCCAACAGTTTCTCCCTCCCTCCATGTCAACTTCCTGCTACATGCCAGCAGGGGCAGAGAGCATTCTGAATGACATAGGGTCCCATCACGTTCCTGTAGGCTGAAATGAATACCATCTTAGCTCTAATTATCTAAGGAGATCGTGTCTTTGAAAAGCAAATATGCCCAAGAATACAAAATATCAATGTATTTTGGGGAAATATTTTTCACATCACTTTCAACATATACTACACAGCAACACTCTGGCTGCCCTGCCTGTGGAGTAGCCATACTCTCTCTCACTGCTTCACTAATAAGCTTTTTCTTCACTTTAAACTCTAAAATAAATAAATACACATACACACATTAGGCCTGAGCTGCTGCTGCTGCTGCTGCTCCAGGGAACATCTGGGCCAGAAGTCCACCAGTTTCCCCTGCCTTCTCTCATGTACTCCCCAGTGACCATGTGTGACCCGCACACCGCTGTCCTCCGCTGACAGCTGGGAGGTTGCGGAAGCGGATGGCGAGCGCCAGAGCCGCTGCCAAACCCGAACCGCCAGGGCACGCAGGGCCTTGGCGCCGAGTCAGCTAGAAGGGGGGCGGGCGGGAGCCCGGCACGGAGGGGCCGTTCCCCCCAAACGGACAATCCGGGGGACATGCCGGGGACATACACCCCGTCCTGGGCCGCAGGAGAGGCCTTAACAACCCGCAGGCCTGGCTCCCCGCGGGTGCGTCTCCGAAGGTCACCGCGGCTCCGGGCGGAGCAAAGGTTAGGTCCCGCCGGCCGGGTCCGGGCAGGGAACCGGGGAAACGGGGGTCCTGGCAGGGAACCGGGGGAACGGGGGTCCGGGCAGGGAACCGGGAGAACCGGGGAGACGGGGGGCCCAGGCAGGGAACCGGGGGAACGGAGGTCCGGGCAGGGAACCGGGAGGACGGGGGCCCGGGCAGGGAACCGGGAGAACCGGGGGAACGGGGGCCCGGGCAGGGAACCGGGGGAACGGGGGCCCGGGCAGGGAACCGGGGGAACGGGGGCCCGGGCAGGGAACCGGGGGAACGGGGGCCCGGGCAGGGAACCGGGGGAACGGGGGCCCGGGCAGGGAACCGGGGGAACGGGGGCCCGGGCAGGGAACCGGGGGAACGGGGGCCCGGGCAGGGAACCGGGGGAACGGGGGCCCGGGCAGGGAACCGGGGGAACGGGGGTCCGGGCAGGGAACCGGGGGAACGGGGGTCCGGGCAGGGAACCGGGAGAACCGGGGAGACGGGGGGCCCAGGCAGGGAACCGGGGGAAACCGGGGGTCCGTGCAGGGAACCGGGGTCCGGGGCCCCGTCTCCCGCCAGGGGATCGGAAAGGAAACTGCGCTAAGTCGGGGCCGCGGGGCACAGGCGGAAGCGGGCGGCGCGGAGCCGGCACCGGGCACCGGGCACCGGGCACCGGCGCCGGGAAGGAAGCGGAGCCCGCAGTCGGGCCGGGCCGCCCCGGGGAAGGACCGGACCCCCGCGCGCCGGCCCGCGCCTCACCTGCAGCGCGCCGCGGCCGACAGGCCGAGCGGCCGGCTCCCCGGGCGGCCGCCCGCTCCCACGCGAGCCGCGCCGCCCAGCAGCCAGCGGCGGGCCGCGCCGCCCAGGGCCGCGGAGGAGGCGCGCAGGAGCCGGGCGCCCCCCGCGGCCGCCATCGCCGGCGGGCCGGTAACTCCGGATGCGACGCGGGCGCGCCCGGGGCCGCGAGAGGGTCCGAGTGCGGGCGGCACGCCGGGCCCGGTGCGGGCAGAACGGGCTGGGGCCGGGGAGGAGCGCGGACGCCGGCCCGCGCCTTCCGGTGCCCTTTAAACCGTCCGCGAGCCCGCCCCGCCCACGTCCCCCTGGGAGGGCGGGGCTAGGCACAGGGAGTTCGGGGTGTGTGCTTGTTAACACACTGAGCAGATCTTCTCTCTCCCTTTTTTTAAATCTTCATTGTTGGGGTTTTTTTAATATATATATTTTATTGACTTGAGGGATAGAGAGTTAGAAACATCGACCAGCTGCCTCCTGCACACCCTTTACCTGGGATGTGCCCGCAACCAAGGTACATGCCCTTGACCAGAATCAAACCTGGGACTCTGGAGTCCGCAGGCCGCTGCTCTATCCACTGAGCCAAACCGGTTAGAGCTAATTTTCATTGTTGAAGGTAATACAGAAATCCCCTTTTCCTCTGCTTACCTCCTCCAGCCGGCCCGGCCCCAGGCCAGGGCCTGTGTCCCCCGAGTGATGCACATATGCTTACAAGTTCTTCCCACCACCGCCCTGTTCCTCCGTTAAGCGTCTAGTGTTGCCAAGCAAAAACACAGATAGCTGATCATCTGACGGGAAGATGTAGTAAAACACATACACCCTCCGCCCCTTACTTAACCCACTTTCTTCTGTCCCGCACTTCCTTCTTCTCCCGCCAGCGTGGGGCCCTAGCCGGTTTGGCTCAGTGGATAGAACGGAAGCCTGCGGACTGAGGGTCCCAGGTTTGATTCTGATCAAGGGCACATGCCTGGGTTGCGGTCTTGATCCCCAGGAGGGGGTGTGCAGGAGGCAGCCGATCGATGATTTTCTCTCTTCCTTGGTTCTTCTCTCTCCCTCTTCCTTTCTCAAATCAATAACAATATATTTTTTAAAAATAAATAAATCAACATGGTAGATTCTGTCATCTTGGAGTTCAAGTTTGGGTAAAAGGAAATTCTGGGCATTGGCAAACTAGAACAATAGGAAACTTCAAAATGGCTATAGGCATGCTACCCAGAGGAGTAATTGTGCCTATAAATTTATGATCACACTAATGAATAAATTGAGGGAAATAGAGAAGGTGAGTAATAATCCTAGTCCTGATTAACAAATGCTTCGTGAGTACTTGAAATCCATGAGACTTAAAGAGAAACTTTGATGAACTGAGATTTTTTTTAAAGTCTTTTACAAAAACCAGAAAGATGAATTTTAAAATACTCTTAATCATAGTTAATACGTTATAGTGGCTTTGAGGTCAAACATTAGCAATGTTTAAATCCAAGGTCTACCACTTTTGAGCTCAGAGTCCTTGGATAAATCATTCTGTCAGGAACAGAGTTTCACAGATAAGATGTTCCATCCTTCAGGGCCATTCTGAGGGTTAGGCAAACACACACAAGGCACAGCCACCTGGTGCGTCACAAACAATGACTGATAACTTCCTGGGCCTTCCTCCTAAGGCTGTCTTCTTGTTGTTGTTGTTGTTGTTTTAATGAGTGTAAGTTTATTAAAGCTTGAGATAGTGAGGCAAAGGAAGGGTGCCAGGAAATAAAATCTGGGAATCAGGGGGTAAGCGCTGGAGAGCTGCCTCTGACCATTGTTCCCCTGGGTGAGAGTCTAGAGTCTCATCAGGACCCTTAGAGCTTAGGACAAAGAAAGTTCAAGTTGAAAAGGACACAAACCCAGACAAGTAATGTGAAAGAGGAAATTGTAAAAGAACAGTTGCTTTTGGTAGAAACACATAAAGATAATCAATAAAATAAAATTTAAAAAAAGAACAGTTGCTTTTGTATAGGTCTAAATCTTCAAAGTCAGATGAATTAATAACAGGAAGAATACGGCGGGGGGGGGGGGGGGGTGCAGATGTTCCCTTTCCTCTCAGCCCCCCTATTCAGCCACAGCTCAGTTGTGGCACTTCCTGCGTTCTGCTTTGTAGAACGGTTGTTTGCATATACACTTCATCTTAGCCCCCTTACTACCAGGTTCAATAAGTGTTTGTGAATAATGTTGTCCTGTAACTACCAATCATCAGAATTCATGAAACAGGTGCATGAAAATTAAAGATGGAGAAATTTTTCCACAGATTTTCTAAGGCAGGTAATGGGTGATTCTAAAGTTTATAGATATCAATACTCATGAGACAGCATTTCAGAGGAGATTTATTAACACAAATAAAAAAGCAATATGGAATTACTGAGGACAAACTTTTGTTTATATATTTCTCTATTTTATGAAACTCCCCTCCATCTTTCACTCTTGTCAAAATCCACCCATATTTTGAAACTCATCTCAAAGTCTGTCTTTCCCATGAAGTCATGCCTATTCATCCCAACAGATCATCCCTTCCTCTGCTGAATGCCTAAGACCTTGGGTTATTCTTGTTAAACTTATAGTGTCTGTTGTTTCAAACAAGATAATGTTCATGAAAGTGTTTTTGTGAACTGTGCAGTGTAGTAACAATTGAGATTCAATGTCTATTGACACCTTCTCTGAGCTTTGCGATGTTTACGGAGACTTGCTCTGTGCTCCATCACATGTGCTTTGTGTGGCATAGTGCCTGTCACAAAGCAGCCTTGTAATAATATCTTTGTTAAGAGCTCGCTTAGGTACTTTCACAATTTTTATCTCATTTCATCACCACAACTCTGTAAAGTAGATATGTCAATAAGCAATAGTAGCTTTAATGAATCAATGTTTTACATCAGAGGTGTGTAAAATCACTGTGCTAGTACTGGAGACATAGCAGTGAACAAAACAATCCCTGACTTCTTATTTTTTAAACTAGAGGCACGGTGCATGAAATTTGTGCACAGAGGGGACATTTTTCAACCCAGTCTGCACCCTCTCCAATCTGGGACCCCTTGGGGAATGTCCAACTGGGATCAGGCCAAAACCACCAGTCGATATTCCTCTCACAATCTGGAATTGTTGACTCCTAACCACTCACCTGCCTGCCTGCCTGATTGCCCCTAACTCCTCTGCCTGCCTGCCTGCCTGATCGTCCCTACCTTGCCACCCTGCTGGCCTGATCACCCCTAACTGCCTTTGCCTTGGCCCCCAGTCTGGCTTTCCTCTGTGGGAGGTGACCTGGTGGGTCAGGGGAAGGCTCTGTCCCCATTATCCCATTGCTGCTGTCACTGCCAGCCTGAGCTTCAGCCTTTTGCAGCCACCCAACACTGCCTGAGCCTCGGCCTTGCAGCTGCTGCAGTTTTGTTTGGAAGGATGTCCGGAAGACCTTCACTCAAATTAGCATATTACCCTTTTATTAGTATAGATTGGGGACCTTTAGAACCACACAGAACTTAAAGAAAAGGCCAGTTTGGCTTAGTGGAGAGAGCATTGGCCTGTGGACTGAAGTGTCCCAGGTTTGATTCTGGTCAAGGGCACATGCCTGGGTTGCGGGCTCAATCCTCAGTAAGGGGCCTGCAGAAGGCAGCTGATCAGTGATTCTTATTGATGTTTCTATCTCCCTCTCCCTTTCTCTCCAAAATCAATAAAAAAAAATTTTTTTTAAAGAAAACACTCTGGTATATTCACTCTGAGCTTTGTCATTTTACCGTATCCTTTGTGCAGTATTTTAACTTCCCTCAACTTTCCTTTATCCACCCTTAAAATGCAATCTATTTTGGGGAAGATGATCAGGAAAGTGATTCTAGTGGGTAGAAGTTTTTTTGGAGGGGATGGAGTCATGAAAATATTTAAAAATTGAGTATGGTGTTGGTTGTACTCCTCTGAATTTACTTTAAAAAAAAACAGTTCATTGTACACTTTAGGTGACATGTACAGTATATGAACTATATCTCAACAAAGCTGTTCTTTTTTGTCTTTTTAAATAAAGGCCAGTCTTATAATCAATTGCAGATGTTTTCAGAGGTCCCCGGGATTTGTTTACAGTGTCCCAAACCACAGCTGCAACTCCCAGTTGCCTCCAGTCCTGGCGGATCTGGGTGGTGTGGTTTGCAAAAGAGAAGGTGGCAAGAGGCTTGTGGAATTTTTGCAACCCATTCCCGTGGTCTCCTCATAGGGCACCAGGGCCATTTCCACTGTGCCAGCTCTCTGCTTCCTTTAACCTGTTAGGCAAAACAATCCTGCATGCTCTGGCCAGAAAGTGCATTCTCTCTTAGGAGCAGAATGCTTTTTTTTAAGGTCGTTTTATGGATTCAAATGAGTAAACAGAGATGTGGAAAGCTTTTGTTGAGATCCTTTTACATGGTTCTTCCAGTCTCATAGAAAGTGAGTTGTGGCTCTGAATTCATCCCAAAGGATGTCTTTGGGCAAAAGCACCCAGAATGGCACAACTCCTGCTGGATGCTCTACACCACATGTGTCAAACACAAGGCCCGTGGGCCAAATCCGTCCCGCCAGGCCTTGCAATGTGGCCCGCACCGCGCTGTCATCAATGCACTCCGCTGCGTTTCCATCACAATGACAGTTTATGACTGTTCAGTAAACCATTCGGCCCGCGATTTAGGCTGGATTTTAGATTTTGGCCCCTTCTCTGATTGAGTTCGACACCCCTACTCTACACACTTCGCTGTCGGGACTCAGGGGGGCTTGAGGGTGAGCAAGGCAGCAGGACCCAGGAGAAGGTACATCACTTTCTACACTGCCCAGCCACATGGACTGCAGCTGCACCCACCGAGGTGGGCAGGGTGTCTCTTCTGTTTGGTTTTGGTCTGGCCTCCACCCTGTCAGCCACGGACACGTGCCTGCACTGAGACTGTGAGTAGTTAGTTTAGATGGTCCTGCTTTTTGGTGGACGGTGGATGCACTCCACCTCCTACAGACTGGCAGTTAGACACTGGTGGCTTCCAAGTCGCTTGAAGGGAGAGCGTGGCCCTCGGTCCAGAACAGACTCAGGAGTCCTCGGCTAAGAGGCCTCCCAGGCGAGGGGCCACCAGCAGTTTGAAGGCCAGCCATGACCCCTATCATGGCAGGGGTCTCCTCTGGGCACTGGCCAGCCTAGGCGAGGGTCTGCCCATGAACTGAAGGCCGGCCATGCCTCCGATCCAAGTGGGAGTCCCCTCATGGTGACTGTTCATCCCGCTCCCTCAGTTCCCT